CATTCCAAAACCATTTTTGTTCAACGTGCGCTGGGATGCCGAGCGTGCGGATCGGGAACGTTTCGCCTGGTGCCTCCGAACAAGGCAACCATGTACATACTTCGTTTGGCATTCTTTCCCAGTTGAACTCGGGCCCGCAATGTTCAGACACGGATGGCGCGTCCAATAAACCGAACGTCGCATGGCTACATAACTTTACATTTGGATCTCCAGGGCCATGGCAATCCGGAGCAGCCGCCTGACCTATCGCAGTCTGCTTGGGATATGTCGACTTGATTCAGACCTCGTCGCAGATGCACGCCAATATCCTCGCATATGTTTGGGGCGCGGAACGTCAAGGGCCTTCGGAGTGATTAGTTTATCAAGCTTGTGGAACGAACCAAACTGATGTCCGACAAAAGGGTATCAGCTCCCTGCATTACAGAAGCACAACTCCATGGGGCAGCTTACTACATGGACGACAATCATTTCCTCATGCCTTTCTGGCGAGGGCGACGACAAAGTCAGATCTACTGCCGGGGGTGGGTTCATCGCGGCACCACGGGTTGTCTCAGCAGCTAATAGCTTTTAGGGCATGCTCTTGGAGAACAGCTACACTGCGCTTGAAAGACGCGGGAGGCATGATGACATTGGTTTTTGCGTATATATGCCCCCCCACAACGGGCGCGATCCGGAATAACTGCAAGATTTCTTCAACGACCTCACGAAGCTCATCAATCCTATCACGTCTCATAGTACCACCCTGGCGATGGGAGACTTCAGCGCGAAACTCCTGCAGCAAACAGAGGGGTAACACAATATTATTTATTCGCTTCGCTCATTCCGCCGGCCCTGGGGCCCTCTTTAGGGCCTCTTGGGGACCTCTTGGGAGTCCCTTGGGGCTCCTTGGCGGCGTCTTGGGGGCCCCCAGGGCTTCCTGGCGGGCTTTTGGGGGCCTCTTGGGGCGGGGGGGGTAGTCGATTGCGGCCCCGCTCCCTCGGAGGCTTCGATCCTCGCGAGGGGTGTCGAAAAATGGCTTTCCCCTGGAGTGCTCTGGGGGCTTCTCCAGGTTAGTTGCCGGGGTGCTTTTCGTCCGGGGGCCCCCAGGGGCCGCTCCGCGCGCGCGAACTAGAAATATTGTTAACCAGTTACCGGAGATCTTAGCACGCCTCTGGCCCGTTGGGCCGGCGAATTGGTGAACGCGCTTTCTCCGCAAACCCTGCGCTACTTGCTCATTGTCGACCTGGCCATCAATTTGGCCACAGAGGTTGATCATCCCCAGGGGTTTTGCTTTCGATCCCTATGTTGGTTCGTCGAGGCTTTCGCGGGTCGTTTTCGCCCATTCCGCCATGGGGGCGTTTTCGTCCAGGCCGGGCCTGTCGGGCAGGGCCGGTCGGTCTCCGGTGGCGCGAGACCGGTCGGTCCAGTCTGGGGCCCCGGGCCGGCCGGTGCCCGGGCTGGCCTTGGACCGAGGCGAGGCTTGCTGATTTTCGCAAACATTGGAAATACATTTCTTCTTTAAGCGACCCGGGCGTGGCGTCGACATTCGCTGCAAAATTGCACGACGCGTGGAAAGCATCAGGCGACGTCAACAAATTCGACTCTACGGAACTAATTTGGAAAGGGCATTCGCGACGGTCGCAGAGACCCTGCCAGCGCGGGCTGCCGCTGCAAAGCGTCCGTGGATATCCCAGAGCACAATTGATATGATTGACAAAAGAACCACTTACAGACAACGCCATGACTACCATAATGAACAAGTGTTGAACAGAGCGATTCGCAGAGCAGGCAAGGATGACAAACGGATCTAGATGGACAAGCATTTGGTGAGAGGCAGATGGGAAGCAGTGCACACATTGCGCAAACCTGATGCTATCAAACACGCGGGCGCCAAAGACATGGATGGGCATCTTACCGACGCCGCAGCACGACCCGACGCTCTAGCAGATTATTTCGACAGGATTCAATGGCATGCTCGCTTCCCAGAGCTAACGCCATCATGGCCAGAAGCGTCGGGACCGACCCTCAACTTGGACACGAATAACTTTATCATGCTAGAGCAGCAGGCGGCCCTGCATCAGATGAAAATCTGAAAAGCAGCAGGACCTGATGAGATCCCGCCCGAAGTTTGAAAAGTTGTTGCCACAGCGGTGCATGCGAAGCTCTATTGCAGAAGTGCGCCCCATGTTGGGAACACAAAGGTTTGCCGAAATCTTCGGGATCAGCAGACGCGTCCTTTCTCTTCGCGAAAGGCGACGCCACGCTCCCGAGCGACTACCGCCCCATCTCGCTGCAAGCTGTGGGGCACAAGGCTTTGGCAACGATGTTGCGCAACCAGGTACTACAAGGAGGAACCGAAGGGTGCACGCGGGACTCCCAGTTTGGCTTTCGTCCAAAACGTGGTGCAGCAGATGCCCTCATGCTCGTCTGGAGGATGGCGGACGCAGCGTACGAAGACAAAGGAGATGTAATGGTATTGGTTCTGGTTTATTGGGCAAAAGCGTTCGGCCGCCTCAAACCGGACTGCAAAGCTCTCGAACGATGCGGCTCTCCTGTCCCGAAGGTGGGAATTGTTAGAGGTATTGATTCTCAGGTGTATCTTACTATAGTGGATCATTGTGGGAGCTCTACAGAAAGACAACAAAATGCTGGCATTGCTCAAGGGTGCCCCCTTTTCACCATACTTCTTTTTCTAGCAGTGCAAACCGTTATGCTGCACTACGCTGTTGTTTTTTGGTATTGGATAGCGCAGCCGGATACATTGTCTCCCGCGACATACTCTATACCGACACCACATTGTTGTATCCGAAACATATCCCAAATATACAATGTATGGTTGGTGCAATTGTTTTGGAAGGTCAAAACTATGGCACGGAAGTGGAGTGGGACACAGTCTTGCACATCCAAATTGAACGTGCTGGTGCGATCACAAGACCCACGGGCCAGCCGAGCAAGACCGTTCGGGAAGCCGTATACTTTGGAGGGGTCGTGTTTTGCGATGGGCGGGCAATGAGCGAGCTGTCCCGCCGCATTGGCGAAAACGCACAAGCATTCAAGCAGCGGCAGAATTGTGGGCGCACGTTTCTGTGGGGAAATACCAGAAGTTGCATGTTTATTCAAGTTGTGTGGTCAGCACCCCCTGTACTCATTCTATTGACTTTGGCTACTCAAGGCGGGCAGAGATCGTTTAGACGCTTTTCATTGCAGGTGTTTGCGAAAAATCATGGATATCCCGCGTGCATACAACTATCGCGTATCTAACGCAAACTTCTTTGAAAAAGACAGGCCCCAAACCGTTGTCGCAGTTTTATAGACAAACGAACAATATAGCACAAACGCATCGCTGCTCAACCAAACAAGTCTCTAGTGAAGCAACTCGTGTGCAACGCGTGCGGCTCCCCGAGGAATTGGGTTCTTCGCCGGCACAGAGGCCGCCCAAGACAGCAGTGGGCGGTCGAAGTGTACGCAATGGTATCTCCATGTTTGACCGCATGCCGTTGCATCACATCATCCTCTTTGCAGCGCGTCTGGCGGTCTGCATCCGGAACGCGTTTGGCGCACCAGTACAATTTTACCATTGCGTTGCACGGCTTGTATATTAAATTCTTATGTTTCTCTTTCAGGTTCGTCTTTCTGCACGATTTCTGTGGGTCGAGAAGCTGATTTTGGTCTTCTACCCCCGCCAGCGTGCAGGTGTATGCGTTAGGATGCACATGGCGTGCGTCAGCGCACGCTCTGAAAGAGTGGGCGTGGGATTGTGAGTGGTGGTGGGACGGGGCGGACGTGCACGGATTCCACATGAGAGTGCGACGAGGTCTCTTCTCAGCGGACTGTTGGGCCGAAGGTTCAGGGACCTTGCAGCACTTTAAACAGTTCGTCCGAGGCTGCCGCGGCCTCCCTTTTCTCCGCGAGTCGCATTCAAGAGGCGATCGCCGCCGCCACTGCCGGGGCAAACATGTACGATCCCAGCCCCAAAACCGAGGGCACCCAGATGGGCGAAAGGGTAGGGCGTGGTCGTCAGCGCCAGGGGAGCGGGGGGAAACAGCTTCGGGGCGCCTTCGTAGCTGAGCCAAGTCGTTTAATGTACCTGGATCGTTTCCACGAGCTTCTGTCCAGAAGGCTCCGCGCGTGTTTCCCGCATTTGGACCCCTTGCCCGAGGGCGAGATGAAAGCCAGGCGGCTGCGTCTTAGGCAGTTTTTGGCCGGTTCGCAGCCTAGTAGAAATTCGGTATCATCTTAAGCTTCTGGCTCGAGGGTGGATCATCAGTCACAGGATCAATATTCTCACCCATTCACAGTGTCGATTTGGCTGCCCCGACTGCCCCGGCTCGTTCCTCCAATACTTCTGTTGCCCCCGCCTGCTACATCTCATCGCGCTGCCCCGTCTGCGCATTCTGTCCGCTCCTCCTTTCCTCTGGCTTGGTTTGGTATTTGAGCAGGAATGCCAAGACACCGATCTCACGGTGGCCCTTGCCCATGATTTAGCCAGTCTCGCTTGCAGTATATTCCATGAATTTCGTGTCGAGCTTGCTGAAATCCGGCAGCCGCTCGGCAGCTACGCGCAATTCGTTTCAATCCGCCATGCGGCGCTCATCAGACGGCGGATGTGCGCTCCTCCCTCTCCTCCTCCTCCTCCTCCTCCTCCTCCTCTTTTCCCTCCTCCTCGCCCTTCCTCAAGTGAGAGACGGAGGGAACGGATCCAACTGCGCGGACATTTGCGGATAAGCTGCCCGCGTAAGGTCGCGCGTAAGCGCCCTTCTCTCCGCTCGGTGTGCCACGCTGACGACCCGCGTACGCCGCTGCGTAACGTAGCTACGTTTTCTCGCGTAAGACTTGCTTGCTTGCGTCGCTCAAATAGTCCCGTCTCCTCATTTCTTCTCTTCCCAGTCCTTTTTCCCCGCACCCTTTTCCTCATCCTCTGTTTCTCTTCGGCTCTTCTAATTCCTGCTGTTCTTTCCCCATTTTGGGGCATCTCATCTGCGTCATCGTCCTCCTTCCCCTGTCCTCCCCCCGCCAGCAAGGAACACGATATCACCACCTGTGCCACCCGGGAGAACTCTTACAGCGAGGGCGAGGACGTGGGAGATTGCTAGGGCCACTAGAGAACGCCACTCTGCACCCCCACCCCTCCTGTCCTGACAGAAGTGAGTGTGTCGTGCTGGGTGTGTGCGTGTGCGCCTGGTTTTCCGCCCTGTCGCTGCGCGCAGGGCCGCGAGGCCAAAAAGCGTTTGCGTGTGCGTGGAAGGTAGTAATGAGCTTCGCATGCATCCCATCTTCGCTTCAGTTGGAACGCTGATTGCACTCCGTCGGCGCAGGGGAGGACAAGAGAGTGTGTGTGTGTATATATATATATATATATATATATATATATATATATATATCTATACACACATCTGTATATTCTTCTAAGCCAGGGCGGGGGGAAAACCCATCACCCCCCCCCCAAAACCGGACTCCCGGGATCTGGGGCTCTGGGACCCTCCGGACGGGCCTCGAAGCGGCCCCCCGGGCCTCGCAGGGCGTTTCGCCAAGCCTTCCCAGCACCCGGAGACGGCCCCAGACGGGTTCCAGGCGTTCCGGCACGCTCCCCGAAACGACCCCAGAGAGCCCCAATACGGTCCACGACGACGCCCACGAAGCCGTCATACCCCCAAAGATCGCTCCGAAACGTCCCAAGAGGCCTCCAAGAGCACTCCCAAGAAGGATCCAAGAGGCAAACATCTGTGATTTTCAATTGGTTTTTGATGAATTTTTGGGTTATTCTCTTTTCGGCTTCCCGACGCTCCAAGACGGCGGTCTTCTGGGCGTCCGAAGCCGCCTGGGAGTCTGCAAAATCGCCCCACAACTATCCGAAAGGGCTTCCAGGCAGTCCAAGACAGCCCCAAAACGGCACAACAGGGGTCCAAGATGGCCCTAAGAGTGCCCCATGGCGGCCCAAGATGGCCCGAAGACACGCTCTGAAGCATTCCAAATCGTGACCCAGTCATTCAGGGAGACCGCGGTTGGAGGCAGGGTGGCCCGAGGAAGCCCCGAGACGACCCCGGAACACGCCCAGGAGGCCTCCAAAAGGCCTTGAGAAAGCATGAGAAATTTTGTGAGGCCCCCAGAGGCTCTCCAAGGAGGAGCCTCCGCAAAAAAGAACTGAGGAAGATGGGGAGAATGCGCAGGGTATGGCGAGAATGAAGAAACAGAAGCCTTGAGGAAGGAACACGAATAACATTATGAAAACGACGATGCTGACAAAGGCAACAAGGAGTTATCGCTAGATTGCCGGCTTGACATTCCTGCCATCTCGCCTGCATGCCGATTTTTATGCGCCAAGGTGCATGGCGCGAAGCGCCAATGCAGTCTTGTATATATATATATACATACATACATACATATATATATATATAATTTAGCAAGGGTTGCGCGAAGCGTCTCAAGACAAGTTTCGAAAAAGGCGTGCGTGCCAAAAACGGGGGCGACCCCGTTTTCATCATTGACGGCGATCCACGTTTGTGGGAAGCCATCGGGCGCGTGCAGTGCACTACACCGTCCGTGGCGACGAGGGCCAACGGGGGACGACCCGACGCCAGCGAGACAAGCCGAATCCAGCCGCGACGACGACGGCCGCCAGGGCGACCCGGCACCAGCAATCCGAGCCGAATTCGGCCACACAGCTGGGCAACTAGTAAAAGCAATGGGAGGCCAGGAGCAGCGCTGGTCAGTGGACGCGTCGCTGCCATGGCACGGCGAGCATGGGCAGCAGGGCGGCCAGTGGGCAATCCTGCGCTCCGAACGGCCGCGGGCCGTTACGACAAACTCGGGCCATTAATTTATTGGCATGACCAGGCAGGCTGAAAACTCAGGCATCACTGGTCGTCTGGACCGAGATGAAGACGAAGGACGCGGGCGCTGCCTGCTCCAAAATGCTCTGGAAAGTTGCCTTTTTCGCGGCAGAGGCCACTTCAATGACGCCTTCCCTCAGCATGCACATCACCAGACTCTTGGGCTCGACAGCGAGACCAGCCTGGCGCGACACACCCACGGCATGCCGCAAGAGGCTCCGGAACTGCGTGCTCGGCTCGGCCGTGAGGACCAGCGGGTCGTAGCTGGACTCCATGGTCACCTCGCGCGAATCCCGGAGAAAAAGTGGAAGATGGGCGGCACCATCGGCATCGAGTTGGGCCAATAGGTCCGAGGCGGCGCCGAAGGTGAGCTCATCGCATTCGGCCAGGTTCTCGGCACCATCATGCTGAAGAACTTCCTGACTGTTCCCGGCGCCCTCGCGCGCAGGAGCACCACGTGCGGTCGCAGCTGCAGGCGCCTCCGCCGGCGCCGCCGCTGAGCACTGCTTGCACTCCACCTCTGGGTTGAAGCGCACGCCAACCTTCACGTCGCCAGTGGCATCGCCATCGAGCTTCGGGAAGTCTGGCACCGATGGCAGAGGCGGCAGGCTGCCACCAGCGAGCGATGTGGGGAGCGTCGGCGGATGCTGCACGGCGGCGCCGCAGCCTCGCGTCGCCTCCGCTCCCTCGGCGCTGCCGCGCGTGGCGGGTGCGCCGGCTCCCTCGCCGTCGCCGTCGGAGCCGTCACGTCCACTCCCTGCGCCTGTCGCCGGGAAAGGTGCGACAGGGCAGCCCGCGGCACCTGGGATGGGCCCAAGCCAGACTGCCATGCCCTTGGGGACCCAGATCCGCTGCCAGGAACCCTCCGGGGCTGCGGGGGAGGCCTCGGCCATCGTCGACGGAGGCCGCAACGTCCCGTGGGTGCCACGGTCCGCGGCACGCCCCGCAGGCGCGGTGCGCCTCTCGCGCGCACAAGCGCCGCCGCGGCGCCTGCAGCACGGTCCCCAGCTCGCCGCACAGCAGCCCGGCGCCTATCGCACGGCGCGAGGGGAGAGACCGACCGCCCGGGAGCAAGAAGGCCTATGCGAGGGCGGCTGCCCGCGGTCGCTCGACCGCGGGCTTGAGCCAAAATGGATACGGATATATATATATATATATATATATATATATATCCGCGTGCGAGTGTGTTCGTTTGTGTGTGTGTGTGTGCGTGCGTGAGTGTGTGTGTGTGTGTGTGCCCATGCCCGTTTCTTTGTGGAACTCTGCCTCAATTACGATGCCACATAGTTTGGTCTAAAGTTGACCCGCTGACGGTATCCCATCGGCACGCCGCAGAGAACAGTGCGTGCATGTGAGGCGGGAGAAGGGGGAGGATGTGCGGGGAAAAGGAGTGCGCCGTAGGATGAGGGGACCACGGCATAGGCGGCAGATGGCGGGCGTGTGCTTCTCTCACGGCGTGTGGCGCACTGTTCAGCGCCACGTGCCGCCGCCGCTCAGCCTTCCGATCTGTACGCCCTTCCGTGGGGGGGGTGTCCGGGGGGGGGCCCTTCCTCCTGGCCTTGCACAGAACACCGTCCAACGCTTTTCTGGAGCCCACGAGGACAAGGGCCCGGGCAGCGAGCAGGCCTTGAGCACGGAGCGCCTGGAGGACTACCCCTTCTACGACGATGACGACGATGAGGGCGAGGACGAGGGCGGGCTCTCTTTCGCCACGAGGGCACCGAAGCTGCGTGACTCACCGGCAAGCCCCAGGCCGCCCACGGCGCCCCGGCCCTCCCTGGGGTCCCGGCTGCATGCCAGCGGGGACTGCCGGCCGTGCGCGTGGTACTGGAAGCCCGGCAGCTGCACGAACGGCTCGGGCTGCGGCCACTGCCACGAGTGCCCCGAGGGCGAGATCGCGGAGCGCAGGAAGGCCAGGGCGAAGGACATCCGCCGCAGCAGCGTCCGCCAGTCCCTGTCGGAGATGCCCCCCCGCAAGGCGCTCGCCGCGAGCGCCCGCGCGCCTACCGCGGCGCTGTGGGTGCCACCCGCCGGCTTCCCAGCAGCGGCGCTCCCTGCGGCGTCCGTGGTGGCCCCGGTGCCGTTCGCGGGGAGCAAACACGGGCATAAACGTACACTGCTGGAGGTCCGCGCGAATTTGTCGGATCGGCGCTGGAGCCCCCTGGGTCAGCGCTTCTGGCGCCGCCACTGGAGCGCTCCGCGCCCCAGGGAAGGGAGTCCACAGTGCCGATCCGAGAAATTCGCGCGGACCTCCCAAAGTTCATGTTCACGCCACTGTTAGCTTCCCAATGTCCCGGCTCCCGCTTGCGCTGGCCCGCGTGCAGTCCCTGACGATGCCTGGACGCCCCGCGGCGGAGGCGCTCTCGCCCATGATGGCCCCAGCGCTGTCCCTGCCGGTGCCGTCGAGCCTGCCGGGCGGGGAGCTGCCGTGCCCCCCACCCGGCCTGGAGTTGGAGCCGATGACTGTCGGCAGGACGGGCACTGCCGCATCGGCCACGCTGGTGGCCGTCGAGAGGTCGGAGGGAGGAGAAGCGACACCACTATTCGAAGAACAAGAAACGGCAGATACATAATTTCTCGGAGGACCGCGCAGATTTCTCTGATCGGCGTTGGGCCCGCCTAGCGGGCTCCGCGCGCCAGGGAGGTGGGTCCAGCGCCAGTCGCGCGGGCCTGCGGGAAATTATGTCGAGATGTTTATGTTTGTGCCGTTCTATTACGTTCCTCTGCATCACCAGCGCGCTGCTTTGCGCGGGACGCCGCCAAGCAGGGGGACCACACCAACCGATCTGCTGTTTTTCAATGTCTCCGCGCGGTCGTTTCGGTGCCAAGTGCCTTTCTGCCTCCGAGAGAGGACGGCCTCTGCGCCGGCCGGCCCTGTGGTGTGCCATCCTTCGGTGGGCTCGTCGCTGCACGCCGCGGGCATGTGCAAGCCGTGCGCGTGGTACTGGAAGCCGGGTGGCTGCCAGAACGCTCAGGAGCCCCCAGGGAGGGGGGGGCCAGGAGGGCGGGTGTTTGCTTGAGGAGGGACGCCTGCACCGATACCGCCGACGCCCTTCCTTCGTTTTCTTCCTTTGGGTCTCCTGGGGTGCCCTCCTCGTCCCCACAGGCGGATTTGCCTCGGGGACCTCGGTGTACGCATCATGGATGAACGACTTGGCTGACAGACCCACTTCGCCTGAGAATGGGATGGTGCGCGGCGGCTTCGACCGAATATGTCTCTATTCATGTAATCCGAAAGCCCTTATAACGGCGACGATGGAACACAGTGCCGGGGAACTGCTTTGAACATCACCAGTCGTTCAAAGCAGTGCCCCGGCACTGCTTTGAACGATGCGGAAATGCGATCAGCAGGAGCCTTCGTCTGTTCCTTCTCCTCTTCTCGTCGCTGTATGCTCTTCCTTGTCCTCCCTCCTCCCCCGTTCCCTCTCTAATTAATGACCTCGTTCTCCCAGTCTCACGCGCACTCTTCCTCCCCCCTCTCCTCCTCCTCTTCCTGCTTCTCCTCCTCGTCCTCCTCCTCCTCCGCCTCCTCCCCCTCATTTGTTATATTTCTCCGTCCTTGTCCTCCTGTCCCCGTTCTCCTTCTCCCTCTCCTCCTCCTCCTCCTCCTCGTCGTCGTCGTCCTCCTCCTCTCCTCCTCCTCCTCCTCCTCCTCCTCCTCTTCCTCCTCCTCCTCCTCCTCCTCCTCCTCACCTTCTTCCTCCTCCTCCTCCTCCCCCTTTTCCTCTCCCTCCTCCTCCTCCTCCTCCTCCTCCCCCTTCCCCCTCTTCCTCCTCTGCTATCACTCCTCCATAATTCCTGTCCGCTCCTCCCCTTCACTGATCTTCCTCTTCGTCATCATCATCCCTTTCGTCGCACGCCTCTTAATCCTCAATCGGTTCCCAATCTTCTCGACTTTCTTGTCATCCGCGTCCTTGGCTGTTGGAGGGGCCTCAGGAATTCTCAGGGCTCTTGTGTTGCACGCGAAGGCACACCTCCCAGGAACGCATCATCCTCCTCACATTCACCCTCCTCCTCCTCATCCTCCTCCTCCATGCACGTTCGGCTCAAGCCCGCGCCGACGGTAGGTTTCACGGCGGTTGGGCGGGCTCGCGCCCGCCTCCGCGGCCTGCAGTCGGGGCAGAGATGCGTGCAGGGTGGGATGACAAAGCGGAAGAGGAAACACGGGCCGCAGTTGCGGATTCTTCAAAGAGCAGCGGCGGCGGTTGGGGAACAAGTGGGGGTTGGGGCGGCCGCAGTGGCGGATACGGCGGCGGAGGTGACCGCAGTGGCGGCTGGGGCGGCGGAGATTCTCTTGGCGGATGGAGAGGAAAAGCGCAGGATGGCGGCGACGGAAGTGACCGCAGTCGCGGATGGGAGGGCGGCGGATGGGGCGGCAACGGATGCGAGGGTTGGGGAATGGAGGGCGCCCGCTGGTGGGACGACGAGGGTGGCTGGTGGAATGCATGGGAAGGTGGCCGCTCGAGTGCCTCGGCAGGTTCTCCTGCCGCGGAGCCCGCGGCCGCAACAGCGGCGGGCAAAGGAGGCGGTCCCCTGCTTCCCCCAGGGCGCGAAGAACAAGGCGCAGTTGCGCTGTTTCAAATTGTGCGCAATGAGCCGCTGCCAATTTTCAAGTTGGAATTCTTCGAGAACTTCAGGGCGAACTGGAACGGCAATTATAAGCAGCACAACGCGGCCTTGAAGTGGTTCCGAGACGAGTACGAAGACCGAGAAAACCCTTTCGGCAGCCGCACGCCCGTCTTCGGAGGTACCGCAGTTGCGGAGGAAATTTCGAAGATCCTTAAGTACCGCGCAAAGGGGAAGGCGCAGGACAACAGGGATTGGGACTGGGACCACACTGTCAAAGTGCCGTGGTCTTGGCTGGAGATGGTCGCGCAGATGGATGGACCTACAATGCTGCGCGTCGTGTGCGGCCCTGACAATGACCGCAGTCGCGGGTTGGTCCGCTGCGAGTGCCGCCCGTGCCCTAGCAGTCTCGACAACATGAGGCACACGAAAGGGGTGGACAGAGGACAGGCGCAAAGAATCCCTCTGCCCCAGTGGGATTTCGTCCTCATCCGCGACGACGGCTCGGGCATTCGCGTCCACCCATCCTGGTCTAGCCCGAAGTTCAACACGTATGAGGTGGAGCCGCACTCGCATCCCGTGCGGGGCCCGAGGGCAGGTCTCGGCAAGAGCGATGGCCACGGAACGTTCACGTTCTGGAAGATGCTGCACGCCCATCCGAATCCTGGGCGGTTCGACGCGAGCAAGGGGGCGCAGCTGCAACCGCGGTGGTCCGCGCAGCCTTGACACCGCAGTTGCGGGATTGCGCAGCCATGGAACCGCAGTTGCGGGGACCGATCGCGTGACGCCGCGCTCGTTTGACTCACTATGCGCGCTTTCGGCCGCAGTTGCGGCGCTGCCTTCTAGCGACTTCATACAGCTTGGCCGCAGTTGCGGCGCTCCCACGACTGACCGCTGTAATTAGGTGCTTCGGGCGCGCATCACCTCCGTTGAAGCACTCGTGACGTTAATTAGCGCGGCCGCAGTTGCGGAGACAGGTACTTAAACAGATGGATCCGCAGTTGTTCGTCGTCCTCGTCGCCCCTTCCCCGTCGTCCTCGTCGCAGTCTCCTCCCTCCGCCTTTCCTCCTCGTCGCAGTTCCTTCCGTTGGCCGTAGCCCGCCTCCGTTGGCCGAGTCATTTCCCGTCGTCCTCGTCGCAGTCCCCCCCGAGGGCCGCAGTTGCGGACTTTGTTGATTCCTCCTCCTCCGTTTCTGCCCCGTCATCCTCGTCGCAGTCCCCTTGCTCCTTTCACCCTCGTCTGAGCTCTTCGCGCCATCCTCTTCCGTCGCGTCCTCTCCATCCTCCTCTTCGCCTTCCTCGTCCTCATCCCCGCCGTCTCCCTCGTTGCCCTTCCTCTCCCAAGCCGGCCGCAGTTCCCCCGTCGGACGGGGGCCGCGCGCGGCCACGCCATGGACCCAGGTCGCAAAGCCGAGGTCGACAAGCGGTTCGCCGAGCTGAAGCAGCAACTGCGGGAAAGGTTCGGCCTGCAAGGGGCTGCCGCGGATGCCGCAGTCGCGGAGCCGACGGAGGACCGCAGTTGCGGAAGCCCCGAGCGACCGCCGCGCGAGGCCTCCCCGCAGTCGTCTAGCTCCTCGCGGGAATATCGGCCGCCGCCGCCGATAAGCGCTGCGAGTGGGAGCTCTGCTGGTGGGAGGCGCGAAGAGGCGCAGTTGCGCAGGGCGCACTTGACCCCCAAGGCAAAATGGGGGCCTCGGGCGCAGACGCCGACGAAGCAGCAGGACCAACCAGCAGTGACGGGAGCCGCCACCGAGACCGCAGTTGCGGGGGTGGCCGGCGAGCCAGGTGCCGCGCGCGGCTCATCTGGGAGCAGCGCGCCCTCGGCCGTGCTGCTCGCAGCCGAGTCCAAACGAGGCGCCCAACCCGAAGACGAGGCCGCCTCCCAGGAGAAAGCCGCCGAGACAACCGCCTCGGCCGATTCGCGGCCGAGGAAAAGGCCGCCTCCCACGGAAGACTCGCCGCTGTCAGAACCGCAGTCGCGGGGTCGCGCGGGGCCTCCGTCGGAACCGCAGTTGCGGGAAGATGCGGGAGCACCGCGGAAGAAGCAGCGGACCAGGTCCCCTCCAGGGATAAACTACTTTGGGGAACGCCCCAAGTGGAACGAAGGATTCCTTCGTACAGCAGACGGCAATCGGGTTCCGTCCACCATCGCTTTGGTGTTCAACGTGGTGGTCATCACGAAGGTGGCAACAAAGGAAGATGTCTTCAGGTGCATCTTGCACCAAACTGCGGCGGTCGTCTTCGTCGTATGGGGCCCCGAGCTGTTCCGCACGGGGAACGTCGAAGGCGCTTGCAGCTACGACGTTCCCGTTGGACTCAGGACTGCCGTCGAAGACGCTGTCACTTTGAAAAACAACACCGCGGAGCCTTACTGGACGACGGTTGGCCTGTTCAGAGACACGGGCGTGGTGCTCGTGCGCCCGCACATCATCGCAGAGACCGCAGTTGCGGGTCATGTTGTTGGGGCCACCCACGCCGTCACGATCCTGCGCTTTCGCCTGAAGGGCTCCGACATGAATCCTGCCGCGGTGATCCGTTTTGCCGTCGTGTCCAGACACGCAGTCACCGAACGTCTCCAACAGAAGATCACGCAAACAGAACAAACAGCGTGGCAGCCAGGTTTCTTCAAGGACGCGGTTGCTTCCATCCATAAAAATGATGTGCGGTTCTTGTGCGGCCTGTTTGACATCCCGCCTGAGCAGCTCGCAGCATTTGGCCGCAGTTGCGGAGCCAGCTACACCTGCCCGGTGGGGGTGGTGTTCAGGGCTGGACCCGCCCTGTTCGGAGGCATTGTGGAGGGCACACGCGTCATGCATCCGAATTACGTCCTCCCCATTGGCCCGTGCGACGTGCGCATTGCGGACTACAACCTGGATTTTGCAGGGAGGCCGTCGAAGAACGATCCCCAGTGGCTCCCTGATTGGATGCATCGAACAAGCGACTCCATCATCTCTCGGCGCTGGGTCCCAGCGAAGTACATGCCCAAGTGGGAGGATGACCCTGACCGCAGTAGCGGAGTCAGAAGAAAGCTCGGCTTGGCAGCGCTGCCCCCAATCGGCAAGGTCATTCAGAAGGAGCTCAACGAGAAGACCTTCAGCACGCACTGGTGCGAGGGCATCCACCAAAACATCGTCTTCGTCGGCCACGGACGCGCAAGTCGGGCGAGCAAGCGGAAGCACGAAGAGCCGCGATCTGCCGCAGTTGCGGACGAGCGGTGAGTGCGGCAAGACCGAGGAGCCGCAGTTGCGGAACAGAGCTCGGTACTACTGGGCGCCTGCTGCCTGCGTAGTGCATCCCATTAGCGATGGAGTGCATGTTGCGGTGTAGGATAGCCCGCAGTTGCGGGGTTGCGGTTGCGAAGCCGCAGTTGCGGTTGCGTATAATAGGAGAGCACGCGGTTGCGAAGCCG